AATTCTGTTCCTGGTAAGACAGAGCTCACCTGGCAGATTACCAATGTGAACCCCTCACTGTTCAAAACCAAGCAGAGCCAACACCTACTGCATTTCCCAGCTGGGTTTGGCCCCATTCTCTGGGATGCCTGAGAAGGAAAATAATCATGGATGCCAGCCTGGAACCCCTGTGTGGAATTGCAGCCACCCTAGAGACAAACACCTCTTTCTGGGAATGCTCAGAGATGTCCCCATCGTTTGTGCTGGTTACAGCTTCACAGCAAGTCTTTTAAACACACTCCAACTGATTCACTTCTCAGTTCCTACATAACATTTGGTATGTTGATATACTTGTGTTTAGGGACATGTTTAAAGACATTTTTCCTTGAGGCTCCCAGGGAAGAAATGCTCTCCCCACTGCCAGCCCTTCCCCTGGGACTGGTCATGAAGAGTCTGCAATGGAAGGAGATGCAGGAGGAGGATCAGCCCTTGTGGGTGCTCTGCTGGGGACAGCAATGTGCTTTGGAGCATCTGACCTCCAGATCTGTTCAATATCACACATTCACCAAGAAAATCTAAAACATCCCTTTTCTAGTCTAGAGTATTTAACACTTTCCTTGGAGAATTGAAAACTGCAAAGAATGGTAAATACAAAACTTTAAAATGGTCTGTGTGGCACTCCAGGGCTACACTGGTACAACCTGGAAATAGCAGAGCATGCAGGCTCCTGCCCCAGCTCCCAGCCCAGGGCAGAGCAGGCACAGACAAGGTGATGGACTCAGCACCAGGAAATCCAGGCTGTGGGGAGGACAGACCCTGCAGCAGACAAAGTGCTGGGGTACCCTGTGACCTGCAGTCACACACAGAGGTGCCATCCCATCCCATCCCATCCCATCCCATCCCATCCCATCCCATCCCATCCCATCCCACACTCACCCATGCTGTCTCTGGGACCCTGTGGAGCACAAGGCTGGGTGGTTCTGGCCTGGCTGCAGGGGTGTCCAGCCTGAAAGTTATAAGCTTGAGCAGGTGAGGGGGTGGAGGCATGAGACCCAAACTTGTCCTCTGGTTGGCAGCAGGACCAGTGGCTTAGAGCTTATTTGCTCTTCACCATCAAGTGATCAGTCCTCAATGAAGTCTGTGTGTCCCACAGGTGAAGAGCTTTCTTCAGAGGCAAAGCAAATAATTTGGTGCCAATAAGCAATTGCCTTAAAATAACCACAATTCACCGTGCAGTGTTTCCCCAGGGAATGACGTTCTTGGGGCATCTCCACAGAGCTCAACTGGTGAGTAAATACCCAGATGACTTTCACCTCCTGGATGGAAATCAAACACCAGGCATAAATCACTCTCTGCAGAGTGGACATTGAGCTCAGCAGCCCCTGGGAACCCCACAAACCCTTCAGGGAAGAGGTGCTCCAGTGTTCCTGGGAAACTGTGCCCTGAACTTCAGAAAGTTCCACTCCAGTGCCTCCTGGCACCCCTGCCACTGCCACTGCCACTGCCACGCTGCCCCTTGTGCTGCCCCACGCCCTGTGCCCCCCCTGGCACCAGGGTGGCCCTTGCAGCAATCACAAGGGGGTTTTGGGCACCACGAAGTGCCACTGATGTAAAATGGTCTCACTTCAATCCCCTCTCTGCTCTAGGAGTACTTACACCATGAATGTCTACAGAACATGGCAGAGCTCCCTTTTCCCAGGGATGGATGCCTGCAGTATTCTGAATTGTGAGGGCTCAGCAGCCCAGCAGCCACCCTGGGCTGGACAGGCAGGGTTTTTGTCACAGACTGTGTCCCTGCAGTGTGGGCACCTGGTCATGGACCCTCCTGTGTCTGACCTGCTGTGCCTGAGGACTCAGCTGGGCTTCTCCAGCAGCTTCCAGCCAGCTTTTAAAGGAGCTGTGGCCCCTGTGAAGATTGGGATGAGCAAAGCAGGCAGGGGAAAGGTCCCAGAGAGGATTTCTCCAAACACCCAGCTCTATCCTGGGCCCCCAGCTCCTGTTCAGTGTATTTCATAGAAACACAGAATCCTGGAAAGGTTTGTGTTGGAAGGTTTCTTCAAAGATCATCTTGTTCCATCCCCCTGCCATGGGCAGGGACACTTTCCAGGTGTCCATAGACCGTGCTGCTCCAAGCCCTGTGCAACCTGGCCTTGATCAATGTTGGATTCTGGAAGAGCCACAGTTCTGTTTGCTGCTGCATGCCAGGCTGCATCTGCAAAAATGCAGCCAGGAGGGTGAGGGAAGGGATTATTCACTTCCACAGGTGAGACAGCAGGGTTGTGTGGGGGTCCCCTGTGCAGAGCAGCAGCTTCAGCTCCAGAAGGTTCCAGCTAAGAGCACCAGGACAGCTGGGGCAGGAGTACATGGAATATGTGGAGATGCTGAGAAAGATGGGATTGTCCAGCCAGGAGAGAAGGCTGAGATGGGATCCTGTGGTTTCCTGGAGCTACCTCGTGGAAGGGTGAGGAGTCAGGCTCCTCAGAGCACTGTGTCTTGCTTTGGATCCCTCATTGCAAGAAACAGACTGGAGCAAGTCTGGAGGCCACTGGAGGCCACCAGGCTGGTTGGAGTCCTGGAGCTCAGGACATGTCAGGAGGATTGGAGAGGACTGGGCTTGCTCCACCTGGAGAAGAGCAGGCACAGAATGGGTCCCATTGCTGACAGCAACCAACTCATGGGAGGACACAGAGAACATGGAGCCAGATTTTCAAGGTCCATGATGGTGGGATGAGAAGCAATGGATTAAAGCTGGAATGTGGAAATTCAAGTTAGAAATAGAGCTTTGCTTTAACATGAGCTTGATCCAATACTGGCACAGGTGCCCAGAGAGGGGCTGTGGGATTTCTCTTCTTACAGGTGTTCAAGACTTGACTGAACTTGACTTGCTTGAGCATGGTTTGGACCAGATGACCTCCACAAGTCCCTCCCAGCCTAAATTGTTCCATCACCCTGTGATTCTTTGACTCTCCTTGGAGGTGCACAGGGTCATGAGAGCCATCAGACACAAGGAGAAGGAATGGAAATTAGATTTTAAAAAAATCACCCTGAGTGTGTTCAAAGACAGGAAAAAAAAAAAAAGAGAAAAAAAAGAAGAGAAGCAATGGGTCTTCCATTCCCTAACATTCACAACTGACCCAGATATCCCTAAACAGCCCATTCAAGTTTTCACTGTTTTGGCACTGAGGCTAAGCCAGAGGCACCCAGAAGTCCTCCAGGTCTTGGATACCCTGTGTCTCCAATTCTCTGCAGAGCCCCCTCCCCAGCCCTCACACCTTAGCACTGGCCCCACACAGCCAGCCCAGCTGGGGGTGATTTGTCCTTTCAGGGTTAACAACTGTTGTGGCCCTTGTGGCTGGTGGTCTGTGCCACCTTGGGCCCCTGAGGTCAGTTTAAACTCAGCCCTAGACCTCCAGTCCTCATCTGAGCCACACTGGGAGCTCAATGGGGGTCTCCTCCCTCTCTGTCCACTTTTTCTGGATGGATTTAGACTTTGTGGATGGTTTGATTCCTGGATGGACTGCTCACATCCCTGCCATAGAATATTTCCAGCCCTGCCCTGTGTCTCTTCATCAAGGATCCTGTTTCCAGCTGACTGCCTCACATGGAGCCCACACTCAGCCCTTTCCACCCTGCTTGGACCTGGCAGGACAGACAACTCCTCCTCAGCTCACCCTTGGCTCCCAACCTCTCACCATGCTGGCAGAGGTGACATTGAAGGGTTCAGATGGAGCGTGATCATAGAATCACAGAATTGTTAAGGTTGGAAAAGACCTCTAGGATCAGTAAATCCAACTGTGAACCCAGCATCACTGTGTTCACCAACAAACCATGTCCTCAAGTGTCACATCTACGTCTTTTCTGAATGTTTCCAGGGATGGTGTCTCTGCCACTGCCCTGGGCAGCCTGTTCCAGTGCTTGGCAACATTTTCCATGAAGAAATGTTTCCTAATATCTAATATACAACTCCCCTGGTGCAACTTGAGGCTATTTTCTCTTGTCCTGTCAATCCAGGAATCCCTTACCAACGATCCATTATCTTGGAGAGGTCTGGATGCCACTGTCCATCAAGGAATGCAAATGGCACTGCTTGATTTTCACAGGATGGAAAGTTTGGTGGGAACCTCAGCTTGACCCTGGATTGCTGTGAACTGCAGGTGTGAAGCTGTGCCATGAAAAAAAAGTCTGATCAGAAACCAACACAGAAGAAGAAGGTAGAAGGGCCACATCTTTATCTTCTTAAATTTGACCTGAAAAGGTTATGGAGCTTCCTGCACCCTCTGGCAGGAAGAACAGCTCCCCCAAAGCATTTGTCTAGAGAACATTTTGATCCAGAAGACAGAGAAACTCCTGGTCAACATTTCTGGGACTGAAGGTGGATCTGCAGGGACTCAGCAGGCCAAGGATGGGCACTGGGAAGGAGAGTGGCAAAGGGTCCCATAGACACCAGTTTGTTAACTGGAGCCCTTGCTCAGGGTATGCATGGGGTGCCAGGGGCACTGCAGCTCTGGCTGTGGGACACTGGCTCCAGCCCAGTGACTGACCCTAAAACCTGCCAGTGAAGAGTTAGTGAGCAGGCACCTCTCTTGAGGACCTGTCCTCAGCTTTCCAAGGTCGTGCTTGGGACTGGTCACATAGCCCTCTCCTCCTTGGCTATTTTCTGTATATCCTTAAAAAGCTGGGTCTCTCCACTTCACTTTGATCACAGTTCTCCAGATTTTGCTCCAAGTGTGCAATTCACATGTAGTGTTTATGCAGGGACAGTCAATAACTGAAATTTCTCAGCACGGAGGGGGTTATTCTGTACCTCTCTGGCTGGAAGGACACGTGTCCCTCCCCTCAGTTGTGCTGTCATGGGATCTGGAAACTGCTCGAGTCACAATCTGCAAGTGCCTCCTTGTGCCTCTACAAATGATGAGTGTGAGCACACATGGGTGTGTGCAGCGCCTATAAAGGCAGCAGGGACAGCTGGCCATGGGAGGGTGCACCCCTGGGTTCCTGCTCTGTGCAGCTGTGCTGTCGTGATGGGTGAGTTTCCTGCTCAGGTACACCTCACTCCGGGTGGTGCTGGGCTCAAATGAGACCTCACAGGTGAGTATGCAAAGGCACAGAGGATGATGAGCAGGACAGCAGCTGTGAGTTTCCCTGGGAGCAGGAGAGGTGCCAGAGCAAAGCACCAAACAGCACAGGCTTGGTGCCAGCCTGTGCCAGCCCCAGGCTGCCTGTGCCATGAGTTCCAACACCCTGTCAAGGGAGGTAATGTGGGGACCTAAGCTTCACCTTGGTCCTTTCCCTTCTTGAGCAATGCATGAGGCGTGTGTGGCTGCTCAGGGATCCTGTCCCAGGCGCGGTGGCATCTCCCCAGGAGCTGAGTGAGTGCAGGGTGTAGGGGGGTGCTGGTGGCCAGCACACAGGGTTTGGGCTTGTGTGGGTCAGGAAATTTCCTCCTGCCTGCTTGGGAGCAGTGCAGTAGGACCCATGGTGATGGGCACTTTCCTCCCCAGGACTCCAGGCTGGGACCCCCTGGCTCCAGCGGGACCTTGTCCTGCTGCCCACCCTGGTGGCCATGCTCCTGCTCTGTGCCAGCGCTGGCCCAGCCAAGCCCACTGCCAGCCCCCGGAGCGGTGAGTACGGGCACGGGGGGCACTGCCTGGGCACAGAGGGGCACAGAGGACACTCAGCTCTGCTCTGTGCCAGGGAGGGTGGGCAAACACCCAGAGGGCTGCACAGCACAGGAATTCTTCACACACACAAGCCCTGGGCCATGGCTTTTACAGCCTGACTGCTGCCAGGTCACCTTCACCCCCTTGGTGGGTCTGTGCTCAAACCAACAGGTTTTTGCCAGAACGCCACAGCTTGGAAGGATTGCTGTGCCATGTTTGTGAGGCTCAGTTCTAGGAGAGGTCCTCCTAGCTATTTGGCTTTTTGTTTAGCTATTGTTGGGTTAGGAACATCCCCTTCCTCCCTTTAAGGGAGGATTACACTACCTGCAAGACCCCAGAGTTTCATGGGTTGAATTGGAATTACTCACACCAAATTGTCTCCCATCAGACACAAACCAAGAAAAACAAATTCGATTGCAAATTAGTTTGGCTAGTAAGTGAGAGATCAGATAAATTATAACAATCTGGGGGAAGAGACCCCTATAAGACTAAGGCAGAACTAAGCCTTCGTATCCAATGCCAAGGAAAGGCCCCAAGAAAAACAAATTTTCATTACACATCATCATCCAGTGGAGCATTTTGGATACTTCTGGTCCCTGCAAGAGCTGCAGCTCAATATAGCAAGGGAATATGGGCCAGACATACTTAGAAGACATCATTGGCAATCCTGGAGATTTTTTCACCCTTCTTTCATTGGCAAGATGTATTAGAAGGCTCCAAATTAAACAACAAATAATGAGAAATAGGTTCCAGAGCTCTTACAGAGGCCGCTGGCTCAGACACCTTCAGCTTTCCTGAGGATGAGCCAGTGGAAAAGCCACAGACAGAACCACTCCTTTTTGTCCTGAGTCCCCACTGATCTTCAGAAGCTCCTTGTTGTCCTGATAGACTCATGGACCTTGTCTCTCCCCCCACCCTGTGTTTGCTGCTGCAGCCTCAGGGTTCCCCCCAGACTGCAGCCACCTGCACAAGAACAGCCCCAGTGGTGTGTACGTGATCCAGCCAGCCCGCTCCCCGCCGCGCGTGGTCTGGTGCGACATGGACACCGAGGGCAAGGGCTGGACCGTGGTCCAGAGAAACTCTCATGACACTGAGCTCAACTGGAAGCAATCCTGGACCACCTACAAGTATGGCTTTGGGAACGTGCACAGCGATTACTGGCTGGGCACCGAGTACCTGCACCTGCTGACTCAGCAGGGCACCTACAAGGTGCGCTTCATAGTGCGGGACAAAACCAACGTCACCCACTACGCCGAGTACGACATCTTCAGAGTGGAGAGCGAGGCCAGCGGCTACCCCCTGAGGCTGGGCCGCCATTCTGGTGATGGGGATGACTACCTGACCCTCTACCACCCCAAGAAGGGGGGCATTCATGACAACATGAAGTTCAGCACGGTCGACAAGGACCAGGACCAGTACAGCGGGAACTGCGCCAAGAGCTACGGGGGGTGGTGGTACAACAGGTGCCAGAACGTCCTGCTCAATGCCAAGAACTACATCGTCTGGCCAGGGTTCTGTGACAGCGGGGACTGCGCATCCTCCCTCATCCTGGTCAAACCCACGGATGTGTGCTGACCACGCCCAGCCCCTGGGAGTGAGGGGGTGCCACCATCCCCAGCTCAGTGCCCCATTCCCATGCCAGTCCCAGTGCTCTGCTCTGCCCACAGCTCCTGTTCCCCCACCAGCCGAAGCACAGCAGCTCTGGGGCTCAGGAGCCATCGCCCAGAGCACTGGGCCCACGGGCAGCTTTGTCCAGTGCCATGATGCTGGCTGGCACTGGGGCACAGGCACTGGTCTGGGGTGGGTGCACTCGCCCCCATCCTGGGGAGGGGGACACGGTGCCAGTTCCCTTCCCCTGCAGTCCGTGAACCCTGCTTTGCCCGGGCCCTGCTCCCTCCCTGGGCCCCGCACACCCCACAGCTCTGCTATCCATGGTGGGAGGAATCAGCTGCAATAAACCCTGGAGCCAGACTGTGCTGCCTCATGTCTACCTGCACACAGTGTGGGGGGATCACTCTGTGTCATCTTCAGGATGGCAGACTTGGGGGGATGTGTGTTGGCAATATTCCTTTCAATGGCTTGTTTCTGCCACTGCACACTGGAGTGTGGCTCTAAGGCTACAATTAGCCAACAGGGCCAGCAAACCCTGATCAGGCAAAACCCTCACTCAGAGTTTGCCCCTGTTCATGGCCGGGTGGTTGCTCTGTGCTGGGAAAGAGAAGAAACCACCACAACCTGGAGTGTGGAGAGAGCACACTCTCCCTGAGGGTGTGAGTGATGTGGGAGAGTCAGTCCCATCATTCCTGCTGCAGACAGGGAATGTGTCTATGAAGTTCCCTTGTGATGCAGGGAAGTTTGAACTTGGGGCTTGAAAGAACCCACAGCTCCTCTCCTCACTCTGTGGAAGGAAAGCTGAGCTCAGGGAAGGTTTGTGGCTCGAAATGCTGAACAACATGGGACTCTGGAGCCAAGGTCTGTGACCAGGGTCCCAGGGCACCCTGGACAGCCGTGGCAGGTGCATTGCTCCTGAGGAGCAGTCAAGGAGCATTCTTTGGCAGCCTTGGAGGCAGCACTGCTTCATGGGAAGAGGGAGGTACGAGGGTGCTGCTGGTTGAGAAAGGCTTCCCACTCTGAGGTGACTTAAGAGTAGCATATCTGGACTAAGAGATATGTCTGCTGGTTCAAAAAGGCCTTGGTGCTCCAGTCTGGATGCACAACCTAACAAAAGGGGAGAGACTGGACAAAGGCTTGGGGCTCCTGGTAAAGAGCATTCTACCCAGCAGCCAGCCCTGGGTGATGCTGAGCTGCATTCCTGGGTCTCTGTTGGAAAGAGAATAGTTGCACTCGACGATCCCTGTGGGTCCCTTCCAACTCAGAATATTCTGTGAATATTCTGTGAATCTCCTGCTCTGTTCAGCACTGCTAGACCAACATCCTCCCTCTGCTCAGCATCGGGGACCACATCACAGGTACCGTGTCCACTGCTGAGCTCCCCAGTGCACAAAGTTATCACTGCACTGGAGCAATTTCATACAGACCCAAGCTGATTCAGAATCTTGAAATTCTGGGATCCCTGCCATGTCAGGCTGTCTCAGCCCTCACACACACCCCAACCATATGGTGCTGTGTGGCCTTGCAGTGCTGTTGTTTCTTTCCACTCTCTCAGGTCCCTCCCAGCATCCACAAGGCTCATGAGGCAGGATGACACTGCTCTGGCTTTCCAGCTCATGGCTGGCAGGGTTGAACTGACCTGATGCTTCCCTCACACCCTCTGCTTGCTGTTGGCTGTGTGATGCTACATTCCCTTTTTGGAAGATCCCCACCTTGGAATGCAACCCTCTTCTTTGAGTGAAAGTTTTGTCTCTTATTCCTCATTTGAGTTTTATGAAAAAAATTTCCTTTGAAAACCTTTTCTTACTGCACCAGAAGCCTCAGGTGTGCTTCTGGCAGGAAATAAGCGGCAGTTGCAAGGCATTCCCAAATAAATGAAGGACACTATGCAGGTCTGAAAGTGATTTTATTCTGCAGGATGAACACAAACTGCAGCAGGGATGTCTTGTGGACATGGTCTACCCTGGGCTTCATATCGCTTAGGTTAGGTTAGCTGGTGATGATGGATATTTTTTCTGCTGAAAACATCTGTACCCACAAAGCAAAAAGAGCATAAGACCATGCTGATCAAGAGGATTTTAGGTTTCTGAGCACAGAGCTCTCTCTCCAGAAGAAACATGCTTGGATACTGCAGCCTTTATAAAGATGCATTCTAATAATATTCTCTCCCAAAACCCACCACAGGTGAATGGCCAGAGCCAGGAGCTTTGCTGCTTTTCAGGACAGGAGGAAAACAAAGCAGTTCTTGATATAGAGGAACAACCCTATTCTGGCCATGTGGACAGAAGGGGGCAGGAGCTCTAGTGGTATGAAGCTGGTTTGATGAGGATGGCCGAGGCTCTGCAGTTCCCCTTGCACAGGCTGCCCCATGTCAGGCCCCCCCTGACGTTCAGCTGCACAGAGTAACACGCCGAGTACCACCACCCACCCCCATAGCGTGAGGCACAGTTCCCTCTGTAAGTATCCTGATCCCGATCCTTTGTGGAGAACTTCATGTTGTTGTGCACTTTCCTGGGATTGTCTGAGTCCATGGCATCCTCTGCTGTCCCTGAGTGCGCTCCCAGCCGGAGCCGGTAGCCCTGGGACTCATCATCCAGGCTGAACAGGTTGTAGTCTGCGAACTTCTTGTTGTTTGAGGCATCCCAGATGACAAACCTGACCCGGTAGATCTTCTGCCTGGTGATCTGGTGGATGTACTCGGTGCCCAGCCAGAACTCAGCGTGCACGTTCCCAAAGCCGTGTTTGTAGGTGCTCCAGGACTCAGCCCAGGTGATATCCGTGTCCTGCCGGTTCCTCTGGATGACGGTCCAGCCCCTGTCTGCCCCTCCCAGCTCGCAGTACACCATGATGGGATGCAGTCCCGTGGGCTGGATGATGTAGACACCACTGGGGCTGTCAGCAGGGACCTCACTGCAGTCCCTGGGCCAAGCTGGGGCAGGACAGAGGGGGATAGAACAAAAGCCTGGGCATCAGGACAAGACTTTGGGCAAGAGGGAGTTTCATCTGGCCAGAGTACATGGGGCATAACCAGCTCTCCCAGCCCAGAGAGGTCTGTAGGTGAGAGTGGATGGTCTCAACCCTCTGTTCCTTTTCCATGTGGAAGACCAACAGGAGTCAGCCCCACTGAAAGGTCCCAGACTGACTGAGCTATGCTGATACCAGTCCAAGAGACTGAATATGGGCACCAGTGGGTTCCTTTGGGTCTCCTGAAAAAGGGTTTGTGCCACTACAGCAGGGTCAAGCTGGGAGGAAGGTGAAGAGGACCTAGCCCCTACCTGTGACTAGGGGAATGGGGAAAAATGATCCCTTCAAGCACAAAGCCCCTTCCCAGCCTGCACAGTGCACACACACACAGATACACACACACAGAGCACTGCAGCCTGAGCTAAGCACACCTTCACCCTCCTCCAGCTGTGCCAGAGCTAGGGACAGTGCACAGTCCTGCCCTACCCAGACTGCCTGAAGACGTGCACACAACACCAGATGCCCACAGGATGTTACCTACTGGTTCTCTTCAGAACACTCGAATTGTTGGAAGGAGATTTCTTGAAGGTGTTGAGAGTTTGTGTGTGCACAGATTGGCCTGGTGCAGCGAAGATGAGCAGGGAAGCGAGGAGCAGAAGACACTGAGCTGGTAGAAAGGGACAAGAAGAAAAGAGGAAACGTGACCATCCTTCCCATGGTGCCACCACTGCTGTTAACACGAGCCTGTGAGGTGCAGGAGGGCAGCGAGCACACTGGGCAGCACCAGGCTGCTCCCTGCAAACTGCAAAGCTTGCCAAAGGGGAAGACAACCTGCCCTTTTCCCCTTGATCTGCTGGGGACAAGTCAAACATGGGGTAGTTTTGGGCAGAGCAAAATACCCAACAGCTGCCTGAGCCAAGTTTCACTCCTGGTGCCTGGAGCAGGGGCCTGGCTGGGGTGAGCCAGGAAACAAGGGATGAGCAGCTGGTGCTCAAAGAGGTGGCAAGTTCCCCTCAAGGGCACCAGTGCCACTGCTCCCAGAAGGGTACAAGAACCAGTGCATGGAGCCTCTCCCTCTTGCTGAGCTGCCCGAGCTTTGTTCTCCCCGTGGATGGCAAGGAGCACCCACTGCCCAGCCTGTACTCACCCATTGCTCCCCGTGGAAATGCCCTCTGGAGCTGTCTTGGTTCAGAGCTCTGCAGGCTGCTGGCACTGAGGCATTTGTAGTGCCCTCTGCACTGGGCGGGCTGAGTGGGTCCTACCCCCCTTTTCTGCTGGAAGAGATCAGGTTGGTTTCCTTTGTGCATCAGCTGAGTTGGAGGTGCCTGGAGGTGGTTCTGGATTGCAAAGAAAATAATTCTCGTGCCAGCAAGAATCCTTGGAATGGTCTCTTCTGTGAGTGCTTAGTGACTTGGATGGAATTTCCCCTGGGAACAGCATATTTGCAAACTTTGAAGAGTATTGCTCAGTAAACACTCAAATGCCACAGTCACCAGCCAGGTGGAGAGCAAACACAGGTCTGTCCCTGCCTCCCACCACTGCAGCTGCTGCTGCCAGGTCGAGGGGCTCTTGTTTAATCTGCTCCAGTCCAGCCCAGCTTGGCTTTGGGTGGGGCAGCAGAGCAGCCCCAAGATCCTTTTGTGGGGCAGTGTTTGGAGCAGCTGGTTCTGGTTCTGGGGCACATGACACGAGCAGAGGGTCGTGGTGGAGGGGTCTGTATCTGGGGGAAGCAGGAGAAGTCTTGACTCCCCAGTGGGACACAGTCCTAACCTGCAAGGAAGCAGCTGCAGGGCCTGATGAAAGGTTTCTGTAAGGCAGATGAGACAGTTGTGGCCTCTGGGCACTGGGTTTGGGATGCAGGATGAGAGGACAGCAAGTGTCAGCCAGGAATGGAGTGAGAACAGGTGGATGGAGGGCAGCAACAGGGATGTGAGCATGTACAGAGATATACAGCATATCCTCTAAGCATGCATGGAGGAAAACCAGAGGGGATTGAGTGTGCACAGAGGGGTGGTGAGGGATATCATGGTGGAACCCATAGGAACTGAGCACCCACAGAAGGGACAGTGGGATCTGAGCATCGATGGAGGTCAGCAGAGGGAATCTGTTGTGAAAAAGAAGGATGTGAGCTTGCCTCGGGGTAAAAAGTCAGCGCTAAAGAGATGCTGAAAGGACCAAAGAAGATCTGAGTACTCGAGGAGGGGAACAGATGAGGTCTGGGTGCAGACAGAGGGAAATGGAGGGCACAAGTGTGTACAAGGGGAAAAATGGCAATGATCTGTTCATGCAAGGAGAACAATAGAGGAGTTCTAAGAGAGCACAACAAGGGGAGTGAAGAGGATATGAAAGCAGCTGGATAGGAATGGAGTGCATCTGAGAGTGGTTGGAAGTGTAGAGATTGAGTAAGAGGGGATCCAGAGAAGCACTCAGAGGGAACAGAGGGAATTTGGAAACATGCAAAGATAGAATACTTTGGTTGGAAAGCACTCAGAAAGAATAGCAGGGACAGGCAGTGCACAAAAGAAGATCTGATACAATATCTGGCACGATAAATCTGGCTGTGTTCAGTGGGAACTTGTGAGATCACAGATTCCCTGTAGTGCAATTTGCCAACATGGTCTGGCCCAGTTGAATAAAAACTTACACAATCCAGGTTCACAAATAGTGTGGTTTAGGGAAGGAACAGGAAAGCAGATTCAGGACTCTTGGTGACAAATGCACTAACTATGGAGTGTTAATATGTATTATGACAGAAGGGATAGTAACAGGGATCTATCAGCTGTAAATATGTATTGACCCAGTTATATACACATAACTATTCCCAGGTCTGTTCCAATGCAGTTGGAGGCGTGAAGCTCAACCAGAGGCATCCCTTCAGGGGAGAAGGAGAGACATTGTCCATCTGCTGATCTCAAGCAAGCAGAGATGCTTCCCCACCTCTTTTTGCCCTGAGATCCCACTTCGATACTATCATTTTTGGCCAGCTTTGCTCCAGACATTGTTCCATTGTTGGCCCTTGCTGGAGTCAGAGGCAGCCAAGGGACCCATCTCTTCTATTTCTCCACCAATCCCATTGATTCTTGACCAACTTAAGGCAGCTCTAAAGCAATTCTGTCAAGTTACTACCTTTCTCCCCCATCCTGCACTGTCACCATCAGTGACAGCTCTGCAGCTCCAGCTGCAGCTGGAATGTCCACCCAGGGAAAGGAAATGCTGCCCAGTACCTGGTTTTAATGCCTGCAAGCCCAAGAACCCAATATTTCTATCACAAGCATAATCCAGCTTTTCAGAACTCTCTATTTCTGTTTCAAGACTATTCTCGTCCAAACACCCAGCTCAAGAAAAGTAATTGCAGAGACTTTGGTCCTCTAGGGTGGATCCATGTGATTAAGTCCCCCTGAATCCAGGGATCCGGAATCCTCTCTGGTACCCTGATGTCCACGTCTGTGGCTTGTGTGACGGACACAGAAGCGTTGCCAGATGGCCCTGGGAGACAGAAGGAGGAATGGAGAAAGGGGGAGCAGGGAGGACACCCTATTCCCATTAGGGTGTATGTGGGAAGGACAGGGACACATGGGGCATTTGGAGGGCTCAAGGGGCAAATGGGGGATCCTCAGAGCAGCTGATGGGCCTAAGGGTGAAGCTGTGGTATCCTGGGGTAACTGGGGTAACTGGTGCCCCCAAAGGGACAGTGAGGGTTCTAGGGAGAACAGGGGAAAGTTGCAGGGTTTCAGGGCAATTAGGGAATCTGGGGGAAGACAGCCTGGAGTGCTACTGGGTACAAGGGAGAGATTCTGGAATGGGCCAAAGGACAAAGGGAGTCCCAGGAGACATGGAGGGTCCTGTGGATTTAGGAGTCCTGGCAGTCTTTGGCCCACCCTTGGATACCTGGGTCCCCCTTGCAGGGAATCCCAAGGGACTGAGAATCCAGAGGGGATAGAGAGGACCATACTGATCCGTGAAGAGCTCCAGAAGCAAGGGAAATTTTAGAATACAGTTCACCAGGTCAGGAGTACTCACATCAGGAGCAGAATGAATGCTGTGGAGCCAGCAGCCACAGCCAGCCCCAAGACTGGAAAGGGGGGCCGGGTGTTCTCATCATTGAGCGAGTGCAGCACAGTGTTGAACACACTCTGGAGTTCTTTCTCTTCCTCCACACTTCCCTCTGACACTGTAGGGACCCAGGCCCCTCAGGTCATGGGGCCCTGCACCCAGGGACCAGCTATCCCTGCAGCTCTTGCTCCAGCCACAGACCTCCCTGTCCCCACCATCTGGGGGACCCTGCTCCACCCACATGCTCCCAGAGGAGTCACATGCTCTAATCCACCTGTCCACCACGAAGCCAGGTGTCCTGGCACCCTGCTCACCCCCCTCCCGTGCACCCAGGTGTCACAGGTGCCCCTGTGCTCCACACTGCTCCCTGCCCCAGGGCACTCAGGTGTCTGGGCTCACCATTCAGGTAGAAGAACTTGCGGATAATGGGCTTGGAAGGTTCCCCCAGGCTACAGGCAACGGTTCCCGGAGCAGGTTCCTCAATGGTCAGGCTGAAGGGCTTCTCTGGATTCCCCTTCAGCTCCTTGAACAGTGTCATGTCCTGTGTGCGCAGCTGGGGCAGGGGCACACATCAGCAGCGGGCACACGGGACTGTGCTCATGCACACAAAGGCACCTGTGTCCTGCACATCCTTGACATGTCCCCTTCATGCTTCTTGCAATCCTTGCTGGTGCAGGTGCACACACCTCCCATCCCACATGCACCAGGGGTGTACACAAAAGTCACTTCCTGCACATGCAGGAAGAACTGCCCTGTGAGTGTGGTGAGGCCCCGGGGAGCAGAGCATCTCATCCCACACAAAAGTTTATCTGCTGTTTGTTAGCCAGTCAGATGATTCCAGCAGGACAATCTGTCTTGTAATGAGTTATTTCTGCTCACTGGGTTAACACCAGTCTGGCATCTCCCAGCTGCCAATAAAGATCTCACTGTCAAAGAGACGTGGAAGATAAGCTGGATTTCTGACTGACAGCAAGTCTCTTTACACTGTAAAAACCACAGCAAACTTCTGCAAAGTAGAAAGCTTCTATACATTTTCCTGGAAATGTGTGGAGTTTCTCCCATGAATAGGGACACCTATTTCCCAGCTAATCCCCCAGGGGTTGAATGAAGGAATCTGTGTACATTATTGTTGTTTTGGTGGTAAGTTACGTTTGGCTCCTATTCAATACTATTTCTTTTGCTAGCTTTAATATAGATACCTTGATAGTTCATTTTTCTATGTTATGCTGTAATTTTATTTTAGTATTTTATTTTAGTGTAATGTTATTTTAGTTTTATACTGTGCAATAAGTATTTTTGATTAAGATCTTTCATCTATTATGCCTGTTCATTTGCTTATTATTCGTTTTTGGAAATATATCTGATTTGCCATCATTAGGACTTGTGGGCCAGAATAATTCCTAAGATTTAAACTGTTGCCAAATTCTGAGGCTAAGGAAGGATTTACCTTCATCTGAACCCATCTCTCTGAAAGAGTCTAAATACACAAAGGAATCCTTGTGTAGAATCCCAGCAACAGGGCTTCTTTAATAAACTTTGTCTGAAGCTTCCACTCTCCCCACGACCTGGTGAGACCTGTGCCTGGCACAGTTTGCACTGTGCCACTGATGTGGCTGCCCCATCCCTGAAAGTGTCCAAGGCCAGGTTGGTTGGGGCTTGGAGCAGCCTGATCTTGTGGAAGGTGTCCCTGTACACCTTCCAGGGGATTGGAATGACATGAACTTTAAGGTCTTTTTCAACTCAAACCATCCTGTGATTTTATGATTCTGTGAACACACATCTGCCTGTTTCACATGAGCAAGCATCCTGTGTGAGCTTACACAGCTGCCACTTCTAGCACACACAGCTGCTGTGGCAGCAGTCACTACACCTGCAACAGCGCCCCTCAGAATGTCCACTCACCCCCTTGCAAGACCATGTGCAACTCACATTTGGGACAAACAGCCAGGTGACGGGCAGGCCAGCGGGGATGCTGAAAGGCACACTGCAGTGCAGCACAATGGTTTCATCTGTGTAGGTCAACAGGTCCTGCACTGGGAGCATTGACAGGCTCATGAGCTCACATCTGACATGCACTGACAGAGATGGTGGTGCTGCTGTGCTGGCTGCAGGGATGGGAGATGTACATTTGGGCAGGTGTGCTCAGTGTGGGACCATGGGTGAGAAATGCAGGGAGTCCCCAGAGATTTTTGTGGTGAAATCCTGTCTTTTGGATCAACTTTGCTCACTATAATTTAATTATAATATTGAACACACCTCCATCCCAAAAGCTGCCAGTGTATGACCACTCTTGCTGAGCACACATTCTGCATTTTTCTAGCCTACACCTTTAAAAGCAAAGTTAGACCATTTGACCTCAATCAGTACCAGAAGTATGACCGGAGTCACTCAAGTGCCACCAAACATAAAAAATAGTACAGAAATAACCTAAGAATGGGGGGAAGTTGAGGAAGATTTCCTTACCCTCAACACAACAGTCTCTCATGGCCCCATACCTGGACAGTCCAGGGCAAACTGGCAGTCCTCGAAGCGGCAGGTTGCACACTGGAAGACACGGGCAGCTAGCTGGAATCCTGGGAAAGAGAGACTTGGTGGTCCCAGGGAAGTGGGAGATGTACTAGGAGACAGGGGAGGGCAAGACAGACTGACAGGCACTCACCACAGGGTGGGATGCAGGCTGGAACTGGTGGGGAGGAAGCAGCGTTAGACTGGGCATCACTGGGGACCCCCATCCTTGTAATGAGCTGTCAGGATTCAGCCTGCCCAGCCCAGATGGGGTCCCTGGGAGTTTCTCTAGGATAGGGGTTCCCAGGGTGGCCACATACCTTTCTCCAGCTGGCTCAGCTTCTTCCAGATTGTGTCGACAGCTTCCTTCAGAGACTCATTCAGGTATTCTGGTGTGTCCCAAATGTCCAGGTAAGACAATGTGCCCTCCCACTGGTCCCTATAAACCTTTCCCAGACCCCACAGATCCCTTATACAACTCACTTTGTCTCTATATATCCCGCCTGAAGTCAGATTCATTTCAGATTCATTCCCAAATATCCCCTCAAACTCCCCAAGAAGCTGTATACCTTGAAACCCATATGGTCTCAGGATGCCCCAAATATCCCTTTACAGCTCCCAGACTTTCATATATCCTATATTTCACCTCCACCCCATCCCTCCTCAAGGCCTCCCCATCCCACTCCCCTTGTCCCACGTCTCATGTCCCATGTCCCATGTCCCATGTCCCATGTCCAATGTCTCACATCCCTCATTCTGCTCACTCTTGTCCTTTTGGTCCTCTATAAGATGCATAGCATCTATGACGATTTCCCGAAGTTCCTCACGCTGTCCTGACCCTGGAACCAGTACAGGGACACAGGAATCAGTACAGGGACACAGGAATCAGTACAGGGTTAGGGTTGGAGTTTCAGGGATGGGAAGGTCCAGTTAAGTCTGGGGCTTTCTGGGGATTCCTGGAGTCCTGAACAAGATTTAAGGAATACTGGGAAAGGTCAGGTGTCCCTGTGGATTCCTAAGGTCCTAGGTAGGGCCAAGGAGTCCCCAGTGTGTCCTTGGTCACGGTTGGGTGATTCTCAGCGTTCCAGGCAGGTTTGGGATTCCCAAAGATCCCTGGGGGCCAAATCAGGACTGAGAAGACCTTGGCGTGGCTCTGAGTCCCAAGGATGCTTGTTTGGGATGGGTCCCTAGGGTCCCCAGCTTTCTGGGATCCTGCTCAGTGTCATTGTGAGGGCCTTGGTTGAAATGGGAAACCCCAGAGGGCTCTGGGGTGCTGTTCAGGGTGGGGATCCCCTTTGGGCTGGATGTCCCTGGTGGAAAGGAGGGATCAGTCAGGATGGAGGTCCTTGGGCAGGATCTCTGTTGAGTTTGGTGTCCTTAGGGACTCATGACATACCTACAGTGATGGAGGCAAGTGATTTAGCAGCCTCAACAATGGCCTCATGGCATTTTTTATGTTTGGGGTGGTTGACATAGGCCCCAGTAATGTAACTGCAAAGCCGTGCCCGCTGAAGGGGGGGCCCAAAGCAGAGCAGGCAGGGGTGCACCTCAGGGAGGCAAAACATCAGGACCCACAGCCACAAGCCAGCGTTTCTAGGGTGCCAGGGGACTAACATCAGCATCAGGGCCACAAACCACCACTCCATGACCCTAAACCTAGCACCCAAGTGCTGGAGTTCCCAAGACAAAGGCAGAGTTCCAAGATGGAACCTGGGCTCCTGGGTCGCCAGGGAACCAGATAAGGGGGGAGGCCACACTCTCACCAGCCACACTGACCTCACACCAGCCAAAGGTGTGGGCAAAACCCAGCAAGGAATGTGTAAGGCTCACGTTTGAGCAGGAAGGGCTGAGCCAGCCCAAGGTTACAGCAGCACTGCTGCCAAACATGGCTGGGACTGTCTGCTGCTTGTATGTGTGTCCTGAGGAGATTCTTCTGCCTCTCTTCTATATTGAATTCTTGAGTAGAGGGATACAGACCTGATGTGATGTAAGGTATTAGATCATTCAGCTTTCCAAAACAGAGGGGGAGAGAAAGAGAGAAACTACAAAATATTATAATTAACTGCAAAGCAAAGGACTCAGAAAGAAGCTGTTGGTTTTACAGGGACAAGAGTCCCTTTGCAGGGGACTGATGCTTCCCCTGATGCAGGAAGCAACACATGAAAATGATTGTAGGTGAAAAACAAGCATGAGACTGAAGATTCGTGTGAAGCTCCAGTACCACTAGAAGGCAGAAGATGCTGTAAGAGCTGACTCAACATGTGCCAAAACATTTAATAAATGCAAGTTCCTATTTCCATCCAGCTTGCAAATGTTTGCTCTTGTCCCTCTCCTGTTAATGAGCACTGAGACAGTGACCCATGGCACTTGTAAGTTTAAAATGCATGTATGTTTTGATGCTATCCTGAAAAGAGAAGTTCCCAGGCTGAGAAGTGGGAAGGGGAGCACCTTATCAGCCCCAACATAATGTTGCAGCATTCAAGAACTCCTCTTCAAGACCCAAAGCAGCAGCACTTCAGCACCTGTTTCCCATTTTGTATCATCGGTTTTGCACTGGAAACTAACAGTTTGTGTTGTAGAAATGTGTACAGAAGAACTGAATTGGCTGTAAGCCATTGTCAGGAAAATTAATCCACCAACACCAGAAGTTTATGTCCAAAAAGGAGACAGAGGAATCCTGTAACTTTATTTGAATGAAGGGAGAGGCCATGGGGCATTCCCCTGAGATCTCTCAAATTTTTGGAGGACACAGCCTCCTTTTTATCCCAATTTCCCGGCCACATTCCCCTCTTTCTTTCCTCATTGGCTGAGGTACTTGAGAGGTAGAGACTTCCCAGAACGCCTGATACCCCTCTAATGTATAACCCTCTTGTGATAAATATGATCCACGCTAATTCAATTGTAACTATATTAGCAAGATTGTATTTAGATCAATGGAAGACAATTGTTACAGAGGGGGGAGATGGGTGAGACAGGACAAAGGACATCCTCCAGATGTTGGGAGTCGATGAAGGAAGTTGGAAGGGAATAGTAGAAGGACGTAGGTCTGACAAGCAGCATCTAGAAATAGAAAGTTCCGACCTTGAAATGGGCCAAAATGGGATGATTCCAGGCATGGGACTCAATTAAAGCCTTGCTATGGAAAACATCTGCTCAGTCACACAGGGCGCCTGCGCTACCTGCAGGTCACACCTCGGTCACTGACGAAGATGATGGGCCTTCACCGGAAATAAGACCCTTAAAAGGATGAGAGACCCCCAACCCATTAGTAGAGCATGCGCCCTACGACACAGTGACGTAGATTTTAGGAATAGAAACTAGGAGGAGCTTTCTAGAAACTTCTGTAGCCTACAGTATATAAGTGGGATTGTTAGCCTGGATGCTTTGGTACGAGAGGAATGGGAGCCACTCCCCGTATCCCCGGCTGGGGGGGCCCTCCCAGGTCGATTTCGCTTGTGCTTTATACGAACCTCAATTATACTAAATTACTTACTGCCAAATTTTACTTATCCTAAATATATATGTATTCAATACTTTGACTGTATTCATATCCAATATTTTGATTGTATTCATCTCCAATACTTTAAATGTATCCATTTATAATTGTTACTATTAAAAATTTGCTGCTACATTTAATCTTGTTGCCTGATAAATTGGAAAAACAGAATATCATTCATAACACTCTGTTTTTACTTTTAATTCTTATGAAATGCATGTTTTTTCCCCACTGCTTCTTTCGTCTTTCAATATCCAATTTCATTATCAGCAAACCTACAGCTTTTCTATAAAGGCCAATATCTTTTTTTCCATTCATCAATCAGTGGAATCCTTCCCATTGTTTCTTTTATCTCTCAGTGCTAGTCTTATTTACCAGCAGACCCACAGCTTGTTTGTAAAGACAAATCCTTCATTCCTCTCATTAAAGAACATTTCAGGGAGGTTTGCAGCAGCCAAAACACACATTGGTGCTGCTCGGTGGGGCCTGCGGGGCAGCTCTGCGGCTCCGGGCCTGCTGTGGAAGCGGCAGCAGCACCGCAGAGGCCGCGGCCCTGCCGGGCTGGGCAGCCACGGGCACATCCCCAGGGTGCCGGGCTGGCCCTGCCGGCGCTGCTGCTCTCGGTGCCGCTGAAATCCTCGCAGGCAGCCCCGAGCCCGACTCAGGAGCCGCCGGGAGCCGCTGTGCCTTCATCTGTGCTCGGCGAGATTGCCAGCTCATGTGTCAGCTCCCTCGTCCTCTTCCTCTCTCCAGGGGCAGCATCAGGGGCTGGCCCAGCGGCTTTCCTCCCGCACGGCTGCAGCCCCTTGCCCAGAGCTCCCTGTCAGAGCTGCTTTCCAGCCGGGCACCGCGGCTGTCCCGCACCCGCGGCTGATCCTGCCCAGCGCCGGCCAGGCCCTGGGGTGGGCCCGGCCATCCTGGGCAAGAGCAGCTCCCGAGGAGGGGAACACAGGGGGACATGGGGGACACTGGGGACATGGGGACACTGGGGAACATACGGGGACACAGGGACATGGGGGACACAGCTAAGATGTGCCACAGAGGAGCTGCAGGAGCCTCCCATATTCACATCTGACAACAGCAGAAGGTGGCTGACACGGTCAGGATGCAGGAACTATATTCCCTTCCCATGTTGTCAGGTTTCCCAGTCCTTGAAAGGAGATTTGAGAGTCCTCTATGGTTTATTTCCTCCACTGGCTCATAAGTCAGCTCTCATCCCCTCAGCAAAACATCACTGCCATAGAGCTTTGAGGCAAGAAGGACTAAGGGTGAACAGAGCGTGTTTTGAAAAGGGGCAGGTGGGGGTGGATGGTGGGTGTTGAAGGGAAGAACTTTGTTTGTGTTCCCCCACAGCCTTGGGGACACTGACAGGAGCAATTTCATTGTCTTCTTTATGGACTGTCCAGCTGACATAAAACCTGACTTGCAGGCAATGGTACAAAGGCTTCACCCACAGAGACTCTTTGCCCTGAACTCCAGAGGAGAAAGGAGTCTGTGCCTCAACAACCCTAGAGCTCAGCGAGGTGCTCATGGGGGTCCTTCTGCACCTCTGGCGTGAGGAACAGCACCCCACTGCTTCCCTGGCAAAGGCTGATCCCAATGGATGCTCCAAAGCAAGCCTTGAGTTTGCTGTGCCAAACCACCGAGTCAACCAATGTCTGAAACCCAGGTGAAAGCAGCAGGTTTGGCAATTCTCTCACAGGGACTGAGCTCTGTGGGGCCGCTGGCCTCTGCCCATGGGCTGCTTTGGGGATCCTTTGGTGAGGAAACAAAATAAATGTACCCTTTGGACTTCATCTGGCGCTTTGTGGTTGTTCCAGTGCCCTGCCCATGGCAACTCACACTGACAGTTCTCCCGCACAGCAAAGCAAGGTTTATTGCCCACTCCACAATGCAAGAAGAAACTAAGCACATGACATACCACAGAACAGGACAGTGACACAGAAGATGAAGAACTGGCTCAGCTGTATCTCAACTCTTAAACTGATTCAAAGAAAAATAGTGAGGCTTCTACTGTCCTGCCAGCAAGTCTTTCAAGCACCTTTCAGTCACTAATGGGGCTCCAAAAGGGCTGGAGAGGGACTTGGCACAAGAGACTCCAATGACAGGACAAGGGGGAACAGCTTCCCACTGCGAGACTGCAGGCTTAGATCAGGTATCGGGAACAAAATCTTCCCAGCGAGCCTCATGATGCCTTGGTACAGGTTGCCCAAAGAAATTGTGTCTACCCCATTCCTGAAAGTGTCCAGGGCCAGGCTGGGTGGGACTTGGAGCAACCTGGCCTAGTGGAAGGTGTTTCTGCCTGTGGGAGGGGATTGGAAAGAGAGGATCTTTGAGGTCCCTTCCAGCCCAAGACATTCCATGACTCCATGACTTCATCAGTCGGTGACCCACTGCCTCCATGGTGGGGTGTGCTGCCTGGCAACGGGAGTTGTGATGAAGAGGGGCATGAGCAGTGCAGGCTCCAGTCTTTGACTGGTGTTGAAGGCAGAAGGAGCCTGCTGGCTACCTATTCTTTTTATCGTTGCTTTTGCTCATCCCTGACAGCCCCAGCTGGGCAGGAAGGCTTGTGAGCAACCAGGGACGGAGTGTGTGCAGACATGGCAACATCCCTGGACACACTCAGCCTCTCCCAGCTGCTGGATCTTGCCATTGGGGCACCCGAGCATGGGACCGTCCATTTTGCAGCCATGCGAAAACTGCTGGAGGCCGTGCTGGTGCACCTGGATGTGCAGTACCTGAGCACCCAGGAGCCGTGGCCAGGCCAGCTCACTGGCCCCTCACTTGCCAGTGTAGCTGCTGAAGTGAAAGAAATTAAGGAGAGGTCCGAGGTAAAGTCTCTTCCAGCCCTCTGAGCATTCCCTACCAAACAGCCCCTCCTGGCTCCCTCAGACAGCAGTGCTTGGCACTGCCCTCACTGCCCAGGCACAGGCTGAGCCACTGGCAGCAGCTCTTTGCCATCTGGATGGGCTTCAGCACTCTGGCACTGAGCCAGGCTGCAGCAGGTGGCACCGGGACTCTTCCTGCTGACCTGGCTGTGCCATGGGCTGCCC